GTTTACAAACTATTGTTATGATAATTCTATTAATCCTTCTGTTTTCATTAGTTGACATTCATATGAATAAAAAACGTTCTCCTTTCTCTCTTCCTTTTTCTCTTCCTATCTATTCCTTTTCCCACCCCCTTTTCAGGAGAGGGGGTAATACTATAGATTTTTGGGTTCTTTTTAAAAATTTTAATTAAAAAATTCAACATGCCACATCCACTGTTGACATTATTTTTGTTGTAGTGGTAATATACCAGCTTGACTTATAGGGGCAAGGTATTGAAGTTAACTGCAAATTTTTTATTATAAAATCATATTACATAGTATTTACCATCTTAATGATTTTCTAAACATATTCTTAGTTGTAGATGGACACAATGTCTTTGTTTATTTAGTTTTTTTTTTTAATGTGGTGCTGGGAATCGAACCCAGTGCCTCATGCATGCTAGACAAATGCTCTACCCCTGAGCCACAACCCCAGCCTCAGTCTTAACCATTTTTAAGTGTACTGTCCAGTGATGTTAAGTACATTAACAAAGATGCTTTAATTATCAAAGTTCTTTTATCTGATAGTGAACAAGTGGGTCAGTGCTGTTGCTTAGTGGAGTTGCTCACATGTCATGGGGTCTGAGGGCTCTTTCCCTAAGCTTTCTCTCCACTTTCCCTCAGCACTCCTGTAGGAGGCCTGATGATGGCACTTCAGAAGTACTATGGTGAGACTGTTCAGGAGAGAAAACAGAAGGATCGAAAGGCATTCTGTGAGCTGAAACAGGAAGAATGGTAAGGAGATATTAAGACTAGGGGATCTGGCTTTCCAATTGCAGCTGTTTGGTGGGTGATGCTCTGCTGACCCAAGTACTCTAACTTGCCACCCAACACAAAAAAGTTTTTTGGGTTTTTTTTTTGGGGGGGGTGGGGGGGGTAGTACTAGGGATTGAACCCAGGGGCTCTTAACTATTGAGCCACTTCCCCAGCAATTTTTATTTTCATTTCAAGACAGGGTCTCACTAAGTTGCTTAGGGCCTTGCTAAATTGCTGAGGCTTGCTTTGAACTTTCAGTCCTCCTGCCTCAGCCTCCCAAGTTGCTGGGATGACAGGCATGTCATGTCATTATACCCGGGTAAGAAAAGTTTACTCTTCTTGGTCTTATTCTCTTTAATTAAGGAGAAAAGAAACATGAAAGGCACTAACTTTAATTTTAATTTGGTGAGGATCTTTCTTTAGATACTTTGTAATAAAAACATTAAAATCTTATAAGTTTCATTTGGTTGCATATTTTTCTTTTCCTATGTTCTTGACTACATACGAAATTACTTAAAGGTAATACACATCAAGGGGCTTTACTTGGCTTGTTTAAAAAGTGGTAGCCCCTATGTTGTTTACATCTATAGGAATACAAAACATGTTAAATTCCTACATTCAAAAATTATACTTCAGCCAGGCATGGTGACGCACTCCTGTAATCCAAGCAGCTTGGGAGCTGAGGCAGGAGGATCACCAGTTCAAAGCCAGCCTCAGCAAAAGCGAGGCACTAAGCAATTCAGTGAGACCCTGTCTCCAAATAAAATACAAAATAGGGCTAAGGATGTGGCTCATTGGCCAAGTGCCCCTGAGTTCAATCTCCAGTGCCAAAAACAATTTTTTTTTTCCTTCTTGAAGTAGGCACAGAGGAATTGAATAGACATAGTGGCTGTTAATGAATGGGATGTCACTGAGGAAGGAGCATGAAAATTTTGTGTATCCCACCTGGTCATTTCCTGGGGTACATTAATCTCTATTTACTGGGTAGATATTCAGACTTAGTGCAGACTCTGTGCGGATTCTATGTAAGATGAGCATAATGAGCTGCTGTCTAGTACTCCTGAGTACATATGGCTTCCTTCACCATGACACCATCCGTTTTGATAATGTGGGAATCATGCATGATTGGCTTGTGAGTGGAACAGGTCAGGAGAAAGAAAAGTCAATGTATATGAAACACAAGGAATAGTGTTTGCTCATAAGTTGCCTACCAAAGCAGGGAAAGTAAGACAAATAATTTTTGTTTTAAATCTCTGTAAGAACTAAGAAATGGATAATTTACATCCTTTTTACTCTTTGATTACAGGAAAGCCAGACTGCAACTTACTGAGCTCCTCCCTCAGGAAATTGAAAACAGCCTACAGAAAAATCAATCTGAGGAGGATGCTAAGAAAATTGAAGTCCTGCTAAACCTTCCTAGAAACCCTTCATCACCAGATAAACAAGATAAGGATTGAGAATGTTCCAGACTTGAAACTCATGGGAGAGTCAATGGAGCTATGTTGCTGTAGTCATGAATGCCAGTGCCCGTCTCCTCTGGCATTGGACCAGCCTGCTGACACATGTACGCACTAGCTCCTGTGGTGGCAGTGACTTTCTCCTCTCTTTCTGTTTTTTTTAAATCAAGAATTGGGCTGCTCAATTCTCATTTTATTTATCCTTAAATTTAAATACATACTTATATCTGTATTGATCTATTGACCCATTTGTATGCTTATATTTCTTTACCCTGGATTTTACAAATATAAGTAAAAAAAATTCCCAAAATATTAAAGTTGAATTCTGTAGGCTGTATATTTGCTCATGTAGTCCTTTGATGGGTACCTTAACCTGGTGTGCTGGTGCACATCTATAATCCCAGCAACTTGGGAGGCCAAGGCAGGAGGATTGCAAATTTGAGGCCAGTCTCAGCAACATAGCAAGGCCCTGAGCAACTTACTGAGATCCTGTCTCAAAATTAAAAAAAAAAAAAGCAGGGGGCAGGGGTGTGTGTGTGTGTGGCTGGAATGTAGCTCAATAGTAAAGCACTCCTAGATTCTATTCCCAGTTACCACCTCCCACCAAAAAAACAAAAACAAAACCAAAAAAAACTAGGTATCAGCAGGAAAAGAAACAACCAGCCAGTAGGACCAGGTCTGTAAAACTCTTGGGCCCTTGAACCATTGTGGGCTAATGTATAGTAGTGTTTTGCTTTGTTCTAATAAGAATCAAAGATGACTTCTATGCCATTTGAAATAAAATACAAAGTTAACAAAAAGGAAGTAAGTCACATTATTGAAGAAACAGTCTGACTTTGTTTCCTCTCAGTCTTGCTGATAAAAGTGTGTGCGTATTGTTGCAGGAGCTGTGTAGAAGAGAGACACCATACCTACACTTGGAGCTGCTGCCTAAGAAAGCTGTCTTGCAGATTTCAGCAGTTAGTAAATGAGAAGGAAACAAAACTGGACTAGGTGTTCAGCAGTCCCCACCTTGGAAGTTCCACTTTCAGACTATGGTCTGAAAATATTAAATGAAAAATTCCAGAAATAAATAAGCAATAAGTTTTGAGTTGTGTGCCTTCCTGAGTAGAGTGATAAACTCTCATGCCTTGCCTCCCAGGACAGGAATCATTGCTTTTTCCAGCATGTCTATGTTCCATGGGAGAGTCAATGGAGCTATGTTGCTGTAGCCATGAATGCCAGTGCCCGTCTCCTCTGGCATTGGACCAGCCTGCTGACACATGTCTATGTTCTACCCATTCATTCATCACTGGTAGCTACGCCTATATAAAGTTCTGAATTGAGTTACTCCATGATGACTAGAACAGCAGTTTTCAGGACCTGCCTTACCTCTGAACTACTCCATTTTGGAAAGCAGTAATTTGCCAGGATTGCTCTGTTTTGAGTATAAATGGGCTAAAATAGAATGACAATATCCCTTGTTCGTACCTGATGTGTACAAAAAAACCCACCATCTGCACAGCATAACCATAAGGCACAAACGGATAAATTAATAGTGCTAATAAAAATGACTACCTGTGAATGTATTGATTTAAATCAGAAGCACATGGATGCATGAGCTTATCAAGAAATTGAGACCCATGAGCTTATTATTCTCACCAGATACAACTCCCTTACCTGAAATTCATGAAAGGAAAAACATCCCAAGACTGGTTTTGGGGGCCCATGGGGCACCTACCAACCTGCCAACAGACCATCAGAGTCCCCAGGTTTCCACTCAGCTTGATCTTCCTGTTTGATGCAGCCCACTTTGAAACTGCTTGCCTGCTGTCTGGACCCTGGCCTAGAATAAGTTCCCTTCTCTGGACCCTGAAGTTCTGGGGATGTTTAGTAATTCCAATCTGACCACTTGCAGTATCTCTTGAATTTGTATTTGCTGTCTGTCTTTACTCTCAGAGCAGCCCCCTAGAACTCTAACCACCTTAACCCTTCTTCACTTTTCTGTAAGCTATATACCTTATCAGTGTGTAAAGTGCCATGTGTGACTTGAATGTTCTAGATCTTAGTAATTAAGATTGGAATGAAAGAACCTGTCATTGCCTGACTTGTTCTACCAAGGGACCCATTCAGTACTTGAAGAATTGTAACCTATGAAAGTGATACAGCTTGTCAATTTGTTGTTATTCAATAAATTGTGACCCTGGGGAAGTCACAAGTATGTCCAGTCTATATTAATGGCACAACCTTATTACTTCAAGTGAGCAGGAGTATATAGGCAAAGCGTTGGGGGCAGGGGCAGAGAAGGAAGGGCCTTTACCTCCAGCTGAAGGGAACAGCCAAGATTGAAAGAGAAGTCAAAACTGCCTGTGAACACAAGAATGGCCCAGCCTTTTATTGAGTGTCTAAGGCTGGGAGAGTCAGGGTTGTTTTTTGTTGTTGTTGTTGTTGTTTTTGTCTTTTGTGGTACAGTGGATTGAATGGGGGAGAAGTGTGGGGGGTTAATCTTTCTTCCATTGATCTACATCCTGGTCCTTTTATTTTGAGGCCAGGCTGGCCTTGAACTCATAATCATCCTGCCTCAGCTTCCCAAATAGCTGGGATTACAGGCTTGTGCTATCTCACCCAACTAGGGTCTGATCCTTTTATGATAACTTATTTGAGAAGTTTCTTTCTGTGGAAGAGACTCTTGTGGAACAGGAGTCATAAATAACATAGGAACACTGTAAGGGACCTGCAAACGACGGAGGAAGAGACCACCAAGAGACCGTCTCATGCAACAGCAAAAGGGGGTTTATTGAAGATCCAGCGCGCTGGGGCTCCGTGCTCACTCAAGAAGGGAGAGCGGCCAAGAGCCCCGAGAACAACTTGTGTAGGGTTTATATACATTTTTTAGAGAGGGCAGGGACTTTACTCACATCATAGTCCCCTTTAACAAATCATCATACACCGCGGGAAAATTAAACAACAACTCTCAAACATGATTAGTACATTCATTGGCGGGAACAGGTCGGGCAGGGGTGATAGGTCAGTCCTAAGACGGGGTATACATTCAAATTGATTGGTTTAGGCCCCGGGGTGCGTACGTGCTGAGCTGCACGGGTCAGGGTCATTAAGCAACTAGGTGGTCAAGGGGGGGTATTTCGACACACATCTAATGGGCAGTTCCGGGAATTATCTTAACTGCCACAGGAATTTCAGGTTCTGAGTGCAGCTTAGAAACTTTACAAAACCTGGTCCTTTACATTTTAATTTCAATTTCTTTTATCCTTTCAACACAAGTTGGCTACTTCCTTCTTTTTAATTCTGTGTTGATTTCAGAAGGGTCCAGAAATACCATGGAGGCAGAGCCACTTTTAGGGATCTAAGAAAGCCCTATGGAAGGCTATTATTACCTCAGATATAGTAATGTTGATAGCACCGGTTTTTGGTGACAAAACTGCTTCCTCACATGTTGAAGTTTGAACATTAGAGAAGAACATCAAGGCAAGCATATAAAGCAGGGTTTATTTAAAAGAGAGCAACACAGTTTCTCCCAGGAGGGAGCTGGTATCCTGGTATACCAAGAAATGAGGGTGTCCTGCCCCTGTTATACATCCTAGACTTTCTTTGTTCTACCTTCTTCCCTCTTTTTTTTTTTTTTTTTTGGTGGTGGTGCTGGGGATTGAGCCTTGTGCAAGCACTCTACCAACTGCAAGCACTCTACCAACTGAGCTATATCCCTATCTCCCCGCTTCTTCCCTCTTAGTTCTCTTTTTCTACATATAAGACTAGGCTCAGGAGATGGCCCAGGTGGGATGGCCGAAGGGTGAGAAGCAGATGGGCCGGGTAAGAGCCAAATGCAGTGATCCAGGCAGGAAGCAGCCCTGGAGGTATTAATTAACAACTTCATAACTCCCTGTAGGGGAGGGACAATTCCAGGGACAGGTTATCTTAGCAACAGATTGGGAGGGGGCAGGTTATTTTGATAAGGGTGGAGGAAGGGCTCTAAAGGCATTAACATTTCAATCCCAGCCTCAGCAACTTAAGGAGACCCTGTCTCAAAATAAAAAATATAAAAGGTTGAGGATATAGCTCAGTGGTAGAGTGCCCCTGGGTTCAATCACTAGTATTGCAAAAAGAAAAGAGAAAAGAAAGAAAGAAAAAAAAGTGGAGGAGAAGGAAAACATTTAGTAACAGATCATGAATTAAGGCTGGAGAGTTTATCCATTTTATTCCCTGTTCTGGAACCTATTTGTTTTGAAGGGTCAGCCATTAACCTGTGAGATCTGATGCTTAATTATCCCATTTATAAATTCCTGACAAAGGGGCAGTTAGCCAATCTGTTCATTGTTCAATTTTATTATTATCCTTATTATTTAGTAGTGAGGATTGGTCCCAGGGGTGTTTTATCACTGAACTACATTCTAGTCCTTTTTATTTTTTATTTTGAGACAGTGTCCTGCTAAGTTGCTGCAGCTGGCCTTGAATTTGTGATTCTCCTGCCTCAGCCTTCCTGAGGTGCTGGGAATATAGATCTGCACCACTGCTCCCAGCTGTTGTTGTTTTATTCACAGTCACATATAAATCAAATCTTTCAAGTAGAAATTATAAAAGGAAAGAGTTGTTTTTAAAAATATTTTTATTCATATCACAAAAACATCACAATAATACAAGTAAAGCAAAACTTTTTAAAAATAGAGCTTGAAGAGTTATGGAAAATAATATTCCTACATGACAGCCCCTGGGAAAAACAGAAGGACAGTGTAGCTTGGTCTTGTAGGCATATTATTTCCCATAACCCTTCACAGTTATCAAGTATAATAATAATAACTTAATATAATTTATATATTATTTATATTTGAAATATTACAAATTTCTTCTTGAGGTTTCCTTAAGATATTATTTAAGGATTATAAACCTTAAATGCAGCAGCAGCTCCTGGTGTTTTTAGTTTTATTGTTTATTTTTTGATGTTTGAGTCTTTACCTTAAGTTCTTGTCAGCCCACTACCTTTATTTTTTTCAATGATTTGTTCTGAAAGCAACCACTTAAAAGCGTACCCATGTTTCCTAGAATCTGGCCCCATTAGAATGCTGCCAAAATGAAACATCTTAAATCCAGTCACATTTGAGAAACTTGGTCATCTTGCTCTCCAGTTCCATTTTCAGATGAGAATATCTGCCCCGGTGTTAGCTGGGTCCACTCCTGGTCCAGTGGAAGGCAGTTTCAGGGAAAGAGGACTTATAAGTAACATAGGAACACAGTTGACTACTTTCTTCTTTTCAATTCTGTATAGGCTCCAGGAACACCAAGAAGGAACACAACTTTTAAGGCTATTATTATTACCTCAGAAGATAGCTTACTATTTAAAAAAAAAATCTCATTTTAAATGAGAACTTTCTAAAAACATTTTATAAATGAGGTCAAACTCGTCAATTGTCATTTATTAACCTTATCAGTCCAATATGAACCAGTAAACTATGACTTAAAACTGTCCTTCTCCAACTTCGCTGTTGCTTTGAGGTACAAAAGATATGCACTCATACATCAGAGGAAATTAATTTTGGATATTTCTGTTTTCTCCGAAATCTGATGAGGAAGTTGGAGAGCAACAAAGGAAAAAAAATATAATATTAAATGAGCCAGCCTCATTGGCTTATTGTCTGTACCCAGCTACCCAGGAGGCTGACACAGGAAGATCACAAGTTCAAGTTTAGCCTGGGCAACTCAGCAACACTCTGTCTCAAAAATGAAAACAGAAAAAGATGACGTGTCTGTGTGCTGGGGATGAGGTTTTGTGGTACAGCCTTCAATATTAAAAAAAAAAAAAAATTCAGGCTGAGCTCATCAAGGTCACCAGAGCTACCTCACCCAAACGGAGGTGGAACCTGAGGAAACAAAATAAATAAATGAGTTTTCTAAGCCCTAAATTTGCAAGGGAGAAAAAAAATAAATCATGCATTTTTAATCTCAAGGTAATTATTACTATTAATTTTTAACCTCAAAGGTAGCTTGAGGTAATATTATAGATATAAATCTTAATAGCTAAAGAATATGAAGGAAGTTTGGAAGTATGAGAGAATTTAGAACTAGACTAATTTTCTTCATATGAAATATATGGTCAAGCAAGTGTTTATTAAAGCAGTTACACTAAACAACCAAATGCTATTGATCAAGACTCTTCTGTGTGGGGGCAAAGAGGCATTAGACATGGTTGCCCTTTTCCCTAGGTAGAAGTCTGTAAAGGGTATAAGACATGAAAATAAATTCTGGGCTATACAGAATTTCAGAGGCCAAATTCTCAAAACCATGTGGTAGTTATTGGATCTTCTTGGGGGGAAAGGACAGATTTCAGTATCAAGAAATGAGCAATACACTGAAATAAAAAGAAAACAGGGTAAGTGTTTGGAAGATTGGAGAAATGTGTAGTGAAAGGAGCTTAAAGTCCGGTTTGAGCCCTGCTTTAGCTCCTTCTATGTATAATCTCAGCCAAATCACTCACCTCTGGGAGTCTGGGGTTTCTCCCCATAAAATAGAAATAGAAAGATATTGCTCAAAGACATTTTTATTTTATTTATTTATTTTGTGGTACAGAAGACAAAACCCAGGAGTGCTCTACCACTGAGCTTCATCCCTGATATGAGTACCAGAAATATTATGAGAATTGATTATTAACTATACTGATTATTGATTAAATATTGAGTGACTGTAAGCAGTGTGCCAATGATGTAATGTGAACTGCAGAACTTAGATAGACTTAAGTTAGTGATGTAAGAGGATACACCCAGGGTGTAACCAGGTACGCCCCAGACGCCACCCAGCTAACATCTGGAGACACAGCTGAATGAGGGCTTTAAAAACCTAGAATTCTGTGAGCTGGTGGGGCTGATAGGACTGAGATACCTCCATTGCTTTCGCCACCCCACCTGCACCAGACTCCTCCGGCCTGGGTCGAGTTCTAGCATAGGTGAGCATCTGGGACCCTTGGGTATAGACTCAGTTAGGACTTAGAATTAGGATGTGTGTGTTGAAGTGTGATGAGCATTAATAAAATGGATTTGATTGAATCTAACTACTTCTCTGACTATAAGAATGGCTGGTGACAATCCCCTGTGTGGGGCCACCCAGAGCTATTTGAAAAGCCTCCATTCGGCCTTGGAACCAAGGAGATTTTGGTCTGGCATGGCAAGTCATTTTGAGGCTTTGTAAGGATGACCTTAACCTAAGAAGGGCCTTAGCCTAAGTAACTCCATTTTAAAATAAAACAGCAGTCCCCACCACACAAGCCTCAGAGCCCTCCAATGTTGTCATCAGGCATAGCCTGATAAGTCACTTTCCACAACCCTGATAAAACTCAGAGTGAAGTCCCTGTCATTTACTTTCGTCCTGATAAAGTCAGAGGCGAGAGATCAGGGCAGAAACCACCAGACCAGATGTCCTGACCCTAGAATAAAAGACATCACTGAGAAATCTGGTAATGGCTGATAGGGAATGAAAGGGTGGGTAGAAGCCCCAAAATTTAGCATAAATGATGGAGCAAATGAACAGACATTTAGTCAGCCGACACTGATGCCCACAGTTGGAGAGCCAGATGAGGACCTGGACTGACATCCCAACTCTTCTCATCATCTGCTTGATCCTCTGCAGCATCCTCACCACTCTCAAACTCTACAGCCATATCTTGACCCTGGTGAGAACAGTGACTTCTCCTTACAACCCTCTCCTCAGTGGGTCATCAGCTCCACCCCAGGAGAAGCCTCCATTGGTTCCTGACCTGATCACTGTGGCCTGAGTGAATGTGCATCTGCTGGACTTAAGGCCTAAGGCTTGAGACTTTAGATCTGGCACTTGAGCTTAGCATGCAGAGGGAATGTGTGTAATGAGTCTGTCATGATTAAGTGTGTTTGCAGTGCTTAGAATGAACTTAGAATTATTTGTTTTGGATTGATTATGTCTATTGCAGGGCTCAGCATTAAGGATTGTCATTTTCTTGATTAAGAACCTATAGAGTGAAATTGTATTGAATAATATGAGTGAATAAAGCATTGAAAAGGGCATTAGCGCATAGACATTCTTTATTTCTCCCCTCGACTGCATATGTCACACCTTTGCCCATTGCAACAGGCTTCCCCCACTTAATGGATTAAGCAAAGCACTTTGTGACCTCAGTCTTTGGTTGGCTAGGGAGGCTGCCCTGTAGCTCTGGAGTTGGCATGCCCACTGGGCTTGGACAGCTCACCTCCTACCTTATTTGGAGAAAGAACATTCCATGGAAAACCTTTGAAGAAGCCCTCTTGTATAAATAAAGCAAATGTGGGCTCTTCTGTCTCTCTCCCCAGTGTGGAAGCAGGACCCCTAGGGTTGCAGAGTCATCACATCCTCACTTTTTAAAACTACTTTCTGTGTAGGGTGATTTTTTTTGCTGCATTCTTTTCTTAGCATTATTTCGCAGCCAGCCCGTTCCACACAGAGAAAACCCAAATTTCACAGCCCGTGTGGGACATGGACAAGAATCCCTAGTCATTTTTAATTTTCATTTTGAGACAGAATCTCACTAAGTTGCTAAAGCTGGACTCAGACTTGTGATCCTCCTGCCTCGGCCTCCTGAGTAGCTCATAGAGATTTTTATAAGACTAGGATGACATGGTAGGCTGGGCATGTTAACACACATCTGCAATTCCAATGTCTAGAGAGGCTGAGGCAGGAGGATAGCAAGTTCAAGGTCAGCCTCAGTAATTTAGAGAGGCCTGGAGCAACTCAGCATGACCCTTCTCAAAAAAAAGTACAGGGCAGAGGTGGGGATGTAGCTCAGTGGTAAAGCACCTCTGGGTTCAATCCCTACTACCAAAAAAAAAAAAAAAAAAGAAATGTTTTTTTTTTGAAAAACCTAAGGGGTTTTTCATTTTCCTTTATTTTTAAAGGAAATTCTACAGGTTCTCATTTCTCATGCAGGGATTACCTGAAACTTCATAAGTTAAAGCTAAACATGAGTGTTATAAATACCCTACACCTGATATCAGTAAAGATTTCAATGTTCCAATGTTAAAAGACCACTGTCTTTTAGGAGAACACCAAATTGATAGTCAACAGTGTAACTCTCACAAAAGCTAAATTTCCTTTAAAAGAAAGAATATTCCAGATCCTAGATAGTGATTTCCTCCTGTGTGTAGAGTCACTAAGACAGATCTAAAAGTCTTGAACTCCATTCACTAGCATCTAGAGCCTGGAAATGAGGCTATGTGAACACTGGTAAGTACTGAGGATGTTTAGACTGAAGAGATCAGCTGGCATGTGGAGTTAAAAGTTTCAAAACTTTTCTTGTAGGAATTGGGGTCTCTTCTGAGTTTTTAAGTGAGCAAAGGACATGGCAGAATAATTCTTGATGTAATTTGGCTGAGTGATTGTTCAGAAGGATGAGTCTGTCAGGAAGAGGCAGAGAAATCAAGGAAGATGTGATCACGTCAGTAAGAACTGACCCCAATCTGTGTCCACGAAAAGTGAGACATATAGGGAAAATGAATGATTGGAATAAGAAGTTAGCTCAGGAGTTTTATAAATAAAGATACTGAGTTGGCTGACAAGAGGAGAAGATTTCAGGCTGGAGATGTAGCTCAGTTGGTAGGGTGCTTTCCTTGCATGCACAAGGCCCTGGGTTCAATCCCCAACACCACAAAAAAAAAAAAAAAAAAAAAAAAAAATTTCAAGATGGCAGAATAGCACCTTCAAAGGAAGAGAGGGGGGCTTTTATTTTTCATTTTGAATGAAATCTATTTAGAGTAATATGAATAAAGTTTTTGAGGTGAGGTAGTAAATAAAAGAGCTCACTTTTGCTACTAAGAGGAAGAAAGAGTGCCTCAGATCAGCACCATCCCATATGTCCCACAGGGTAGAGAAGAGCTAGAGGAAGCTACCTTTTCATATTATGTTTAGCCTCAGGCTTCTGCAGGTCCTCTTTAAATGCGGGCTGTCGTCCTCATCTCTACTCCTTCCTCATTCCTTCTCTGCATGCGCATGCGTAGTACTTGGGAGATAAACATGAACAATAAAAATGATATTAAGTCTACCTTAAATCATGGCTGTGTGTTTCAGCAAGACTTCAGACTGCCTTAGATCTAGAGCAGTGGTTCTTAGACCAGGGGGAACTTCATCCTCTCCCACCAGAGGACATTTGGTAATACTTCAAAAAAGACATTTGGTTGTCACAACCCAGGCAAAGGTGCTCCTGGCACCTAGTGAGTAGAGGCTAGGCAAGTTGTTAAACATCCTATAGGATACAGAACAGCACTCTAAAACAAAGAATTATTCGGCCCAAAATGTTGATAGTAATAGTGCTCAGAATGAGGATCCCTGAATTAGAGGGTAAGGTTGAATAGTTTGTATTTGAAATACTCTTGAGTCCCACCCATGGAGTAATTTGCTCATAACACAGTCACTCTTGACTTTCTCTGAGCATTGACATTTTTGTGAGTGTGCTGAAAGCTAGAAAAATCAGCAGAAGGTGGTCTTCTAATTTTCTTCACTCAGTGTGTGTGATTTCAACTCCAGGAAGTTTCAGAATCCCTTCCTGGTAATTACAGCTATAGCTTTGGCCTAGCAGTTCCTCTTCATTTAGTCACAGAGATCTAAGGCAGAATGTGTCAAAGGCCACAAGTTTAAATTCCTAGAGTAAAATATACTACACGTATTTTCATCAACCACTTTTCCTCATCTTTTATCCAAAAATGTGTTCTGAAGACTTGAGCATCGGTGAGCAACTGTGGCCACCTAGTTTCTCAACTTCATTAGTGCATCTTGTCGTCCTTCAAGAAAATAACTCTTGCCCTTGAAATCTTGATGTTCTGCCTTTCCTCTAACTCCAAACCAAAGATTAAAAATATCAATTAGCACTGGATATGTTTTCAAATTAGTTAGCAAGCCTCAGTATCTCCAAGAAAATACAAAATTAGGGAAAATAAAAGGGCCATGGTAGAATGCATATTAAGGGCACTGACTTCTTGTCTTTGTTAACTCCAGCACCTAGGAAAGTGCCAGGTACATAGTAGGTATCAAAAATATTTGTGCAGAGAATGAAAAGAACTTATCGAGACAAGTTAAAAAAGACATTGAAGTTATCATAGACTTGCTCAAACATGAGAAGTATTTTTTCACTGCTGTGATTAAAAAGATCTGACTAGAACAATTGTAGAGGAGGAAAGGTTCATTTGAGGGCTCATGGTTTCAGAGGTCTTAGTCCATAGAAGGCTGGCTCAATTCCTTGTGGCTCAAGAGGAAGTAGAACATCATGGAGGAACAGTGTGGCAGAGGGAAGCAGCTCATGTGATGATCAGGAAGCAGAGACAGACTCCCCAAGCCACGCTCCAATTCCCACCCCCTCCAGCCACACCCTACCACTTTAGTTACCACTCAGTTAATCCCTATCAAGGGACTAAATGACTATTTGAGTTAAGACTCTTACAACCCAATCATTTCTCCTCTGAACCTTCTTGCATGGTTTCATACATGAGCTTCTGGGGGAAACCTCACATCCAAACCATAACAAGAAGAGAATAGGCTAAAATGACAGAGAGATGCTGAAACACACTAATAGAGTTTGGGCTTCCAGGAATTGAGATCATGATGATATAAAGGTAGTTACTTACTGCAAATGAAACAGGTCCCAAGTATTACAGTGATGCCTACACACACCGGGATTAGGATCTTTCTCTTCCAGAGCTGATCATCAGGAGGATCTTCCTTGGCTGTGGAGGGAAAAGAAAAATGTTCACTACAGCTTGATTTCCATCCTGTCCTCTTCTATATGCACACGAGGAGAATTATTCACTTCTGTGCCTCGTCACCTTACCAAGACACAGCTGCTAACAACTTTCTTGTATAATTCTTCAATCAGACACATACTGAGGGCAACTAATCTTCAGATGTCAGGCACTGAATATGAGAAGGACAGTTTGAACTTTTGCATTTACTGAGCTAAGTGAGCAAAAGAAAGAGTCTAATGCCTGGTGCGGTGTACTCCCGTAATCCCAGCAACTCGGGAGGCTGAGGCAGGGGGTTGGCAAGTTTGAAGCCAACCTTGGCATTAGAGATATCCTGTCTCAAAATAAAAAATAAGAAGGGCTGAGTTTGCAGCTCAGTGATAAAGTGCCCCTGGCTTCAATCCCTAGTACCCCATCCCCCACAAAAAAGGAAAGAGTCTGAGGAGATACTGTAAAAGGCATTTTGTCTTCATCACTACGTCTTCCTACTAATACTTAGCTGATGTCCCATTCTACATATACTTTATTTCTCCTTCTCTAGTTCTGTCCTGCTTTCTACCTTTCTCTTAGCATGTTCTCTTCCCACACATACTACTGTCTGGGATGGCAGTGCTCCTGGATGATCTCATCCATTCCCAAGGCTTGAAATGCCATGTGTTATCATATTTCTGATCTGATTTCCAAGCTCCAGATTTTGTAGTTTTGGGGCCTGACGAGATGGTTGGAGGTCGGCTTCTCCACCTGATTAAAACGGAACTCACTATATTCTTTCCGAAAGCACATCTGCCACCTGTATTAACCAGGGCAGTGAGTGCCACCATCAGTTGTCTCCATGCATGATATGTTTTCTTGGTATTCACTTCCCAGTAGCCTACCATCCTGGGCTTTTGTATACACAGTACCTCTGGTGCTGATTGCTTTTTCCCAAATCTCTCGCAGGGACTGCTTTAGTTTGGACTTTTCTTATTTCCTACTTAGTATCCTCCAAACTGTCTCTGCTGTCTCAGGTGTGTTAGGCTGTAACAATTCCTACACATTGCTGCTACAGTCATTATTCTAGAATGTGTTTCTGATCACAGCATACCTACTAATGACAGATTAGGGAAAGTTGGCTCTTCTTCTTTTTTTTTTTTTTTTTTTTTTGGTTAAATACCACATTACAAGGAGACATCAAGGTTTTACCAAGGTAGAACTCTGTCATCCAGAAAGACACACAAAATAACAAAGAGGCCTTCACCCGCCCACCGGGTTATCCTGGGATTCTGGAATTTCACAGCCTCTGGCTCACACCTGGCTTCCTCTCAGAAGCCATTCACACCCACCTGGGAGCTTCATTTAGCCTTGAGGGACCTTGTGGGAGTGAGGGAAAGAAGGAACCATACCTGGCAGCAGTCTACTGGCCCTGCCTGGATGCTATTAGAAAGCTGTCGACACACCACAGGTGCAGACTCAGAAGCGAGAGCACACTGAGCCGGGACACCTGAGCCTAAAGCTTCTTAGACACCATGAGTGGGGGTCCCCAGTTTACCTCTTCCCAGTTTATCAAGGTTTAACAAATTTGGCAGGTCTAGACTACAAAAATCTATATACCCAATCTGTTTAATTAATTATTGGATTTTTAATTACTTTTATTATTATGTTTTTACCCAAATGGAGCACAACTTTTCATTTCTCTGATTGTACATGGTGGTGTAGAGTCATACCATTCTTGCAATCATACCCATTCATAGGGGCAATAATGTTCATCTCATCCTACCGTCTTCCCCCACACACTCTGCCTCTCCTCTCCTCTCCCTCCCTTCCCTCCCTTCTGCTCAATCCAAAGTTCCTCCATTCTTTCCATGCCCCCTGCCCATTGTGGATCAGCATCCACTGATCAGATGAAACATTTGGTCTTTGGTTTTTTGGGATTGGCTTATATCGCTTAGCATGATATTCTTCAACTCTGTCCATTTACCCATAAATGCCATAATTTCACTCTTCTTTAAGGCTGAGTGGTGTTCCATGGTGTATATATACCACAGTTTCTTTATCCATCCATCTAGTGAAGGGCATCTAGGCTGTTTCCTCAGTTTAGCTATTATGAATTGAGCTGCTATAAACATTGAATTGGCTGCATCACTGTAGTATGCCAGATCAGGTATTCTTATAGCAAAGGTTTACTCACATTAACCCATAACATTTTTATGAACTATACACACCTAACCTATTTATGTTTATATGGTTACCCTTGACCACATACAAATGCATTATTTACTTTCGACTCAACTCTAAATGATGCCTGCAGCCCAGTTAGTGAAATTTGAGGTGTTTATACTCTAAAGTTCTCCAACCACAAAGACAAAACCTACACATTAGCTAGCAACAGTGCCTGGGCCAAATCTGGACTACCACCTATTTTAAATTAGGTTTTATTCAAATACAGTCATGTCACTCATTGACATGTCAATGCTGCTTTATGTACAGCAGCAGAACTGAGCTATTGCAGAAGATACTGTGTGACCTGTAAAGTCTGAAATATTTACTATCTGACTCTTTTCATAAAATTTTTTGGCAACCTTTGTCCTAAAATGTCATATATACCCATTGGTATATTGGTATATGGTTGGGGGAGGATCCCAATGGTCCTCTGTTATGGTTAGCCATATGAGTTAGAAAATGAATTTCAAGTATTTGAGTTCTCCTGTGATAACCTACATGGGTTTAACATACCTCTAAACCCAACTTTTTCATTTTATATTTTCAGATAATCTCATTTGTTAGGGAAAGAGAATTCTATAGTATTGCCCACAAATTTTTAATCATTCACATTTTTTATCAGACTTGGTTCTGAATGAACCAGTAGTTCCTATTAAGCACATTCAGTCACAAAAGACAAAGATTTTTACCATGGAACCATTGAGGTAGGCTGCTCTAAAAGAAAGTGCCAGAACCCTGAAGGAAATTCCAAAGAAATACTAATGTTACTGCTTTATTTATTTATTTCTGGTTCTGGGTATTAAACCCAAAGCCTCTCTACCACTTAGCTACCTCCCCAGCCCTTTTTATTTTTTTATTTTGACATAGGGTCTCACTAAGTTGCTGAGGCTGGCCTTGAACTTGTGATCCTCTTGGCTCACAGTCACAGGATTACAGGTGTGTGCCACTATGCTCAGGCAAATTTTAGTGATTTTAATAAAAACAATATTATTACAATAACTCACCTACAACGACTACCTGATAAATAGCAGTTATTAAGTATATAAATTTTAGAATATTTATTCTAGGAACATTATCATCACACTTTGTGCAATAAACTTAACAAGACATAATAGCCTAACTTGTGTGTCTAAAATGACTGTAAAATTACTATCAGTAAGTTTGATCTACAGCATATCTGGCTGAGTTCTTTTCAGATTCCATGCAGTAAAATATCCCCAGGAAAAGGTGGCTTACGTTTTTCCCAGTTGAATATCTGTGACACTGATAAATCTCCATACTTGACAAGACACACAAAGCTGTGGTTGCTCGTGACATTGAAATCCAGGTTGCTGTAAACAGTGTACAACTCAGTTTCAGGATCTTGGTAAACTGTAGTGTTGACAGCTTTTACTTCTTCTCCATTTTCCAACCAGAAGAGATAAGGCTTAGGAAATCCTCCTGAGGTGGAGCATGTTATCCTTCTAAGGTCAGGAGATGGATGTTCAAAGTCTGTTATGCTGGGGGTAGGGAAGTCAGCTAAAGAGAGAACAGGATAGAACTAGAGTCAGATACCTAGGCATATGGCTTTATATTCTTGGTCAATTATTTAGTTTTATTAAAATGATAAAATGAGATATAATTTGCAACTCCTCATAAGTCATTAATAGCTGTGTATAATCCAAAGACTTCAATTTGAATTGGTTGTATCCATTTTTTCACCACTTTTGATGGAGATCAGAAGACACTTAGAGAAAGAAATAGGTTCATGTGACTAAATGTTGACAGAGTACTTGTGATTGTTAGAGGCAAACAGAAAAAATAGCAAACGTTTATTGAGCTCTATTCACTTAGGTCTGGACATTATCTTATTTTGTCTTCACAGCAACACTAAAAGGTACATATAGATCAAAAAAGGTCAGATATCAAGCAATACACAGTGGTGCACACCTATAGTCCCAGTTACTGGGGAAACTGAGGCAGAAGGATCACTTGAGCCCAGGAGTTGGAAGCCAGCTTGGGCAAAGCAGCAAGACCTTGTCCTTTAAAAAATATATAATTAAAAGGTTGAATGTTTATAAGATGTAACCTAATATAATTTCTGTGTTATAAATAATAAACTGAGATCTGGAGAAATCAAAACTGGTAGGTAACAACTGGGGTTTGCATTCAGGTTTTCCTGACACCAGAGCTTTGTCCTTGCTATCCCTTTTTTTCCTTTTTTACTGTCACTTGAAGTAAAAAAATACCTCTCTTCTATTTAATCTGTTTATTTGGTAAAGCCACCACCCTCCTGAGCCATTTTTAGTTGACATTATTGTTATTTCCTACTTGTTAATTTATCCATAAGACCAAATCATTACTTTCATACATTTGTTTCTTTTCACATCATTATGACATGGGTTATAACCTGGAATAACAAATCAAATAAATCATATTCTAAATTATTAGAAGTCAGATGGTTTACAGACACATAAACATTTGCGAAACACCACTTCAATGGACACAATTTAGAAAATTCAGAATGGTTCTGGGTGAAGTAGGTCACTTTTCCCTTTTTGTTTTCTTTTAACTGATGTCTCTCCACCCCCATTCCAGTACACCACTAATCTCATGTTTTGCTGTCCTTGGTCTTCTACTGTAATCTGCCACCAGAGCCTTCCCTCCCTAAAAGGTTTTCTCTTCCCCTTCTTGGATTTTTTTTTTTTTTTTTGTATGTGTGTACGTGGTGCTGGTAATTGAACCCAGGATCTCTCACATGCTAGCAAGGACTGAACTACATCCCCAGCCTTTTTTATTTTATTTTTTTTTTACTTTTTAAAAAATTGTTCTAATTAGTTGTACATGACAGTAGAATGCATTTTGACACATCATACATGAATGGAGCACAACTTCTCATTCCTTTGGCTGTACATGGTACACTGGTTGTGTAATCATACATGTGTATAGGGTAATAATGTCCATCTCATTCCACCATCCTTCCCACCCCCACAGTCTTCCCCTTCCCTCTCTCCCCTCCCCCAGTCCAAAGTTCCTCCATTCTTCCCTACTTTCACCACTCTGCCCGGCCCCCACATTATGGATCAGCATCTGCTTATCAGAGAAAACATTTGACCTTTGGTTTTGGGGGTTTGGTTTATCTCACTTAGCATAATATTCTCCAGCTCCATTTACCTGCAAATGCCATAATTTCATTCTTCTTTAAAGCTGAATACTATTCCATTGTGTATATATATCACATTTTCTTTATCCATTCATCTGTTGAAGAGCATCTAGGTTGGTTCCATAATTTAGCTATTGTGAATTAAGCTGCTATAAACATTGATGTGGCTGAGTCACTGTAGTATGGTGATTTTTAATTTAATTTAATTTATTATTATGATTTTTGGTACCAGGGACTGAACTCAGGGATACTCGACCACTGAGCCACCTCCCTAGTTCTATTTTGTATTTTTTATTTAGAGACAGGGTCTTGCTGAATTGTTTTGTGCTTCACTTTTTTCTGAAGCTGGCTTTGAGCTCATGACCCTTCTGTCTCAGTCTCCAGAGCTGCTGGGATTATAGACGTGCGCCACCACGACGGGGTCTAGTATGCTGATTTTAAGTCCTTTGGGTATGAACTGAGGAATGGGATAGCTGGGTCAAAGGGTGGTTCCATTCCAAGGTTTTTATTTTATCTTGAGACAGGGTCCCATTCAAGTTGCTAAGGCTGGCCAGGAACTTGTCATCCTCCTGCCTCAGCCTCCCAAGTAGCTGGAATTACAGGTGTGCACCACCATGCTCAGCTTTCTTTCCTTTTTTTTTGTACAAGAGATTGAACCCAAGGGCACTTAACTGCTGTGCAACATCCACTACATCCTTAGTTCTTTTTTTTTTTTTTTTTTTTGAAAGAGGGTCTTGCTAAGTTGCTGAGGCTGGCTTTGAACTCACAATCCTCATGCCTCTGCCTTCTGAGCAGCTGGGATTACAGGTGTGAGCTACTGCACCCGAACTTCTTTGTCTTTTCTTTGACTCTGCTTCTCTCTGAGCATTCTGTTAGAGGACCATGTGCCTAATGTAATTAACTAGTGTGCAGGCTAATATGTTTGTGGTGCCACCTCCCACAGGTCACACAGTTTCACTTTTAACTGGGCTTTTCTGGGAGAAATGGTGAAACTCTCAGGAGCACTATAAAGATGAGTATTTCAGAAATTAATGCATTTTGGAAGAGGAGAGCTTCTTAGTCCTCCTCAGACCACATCATCATATAACCATTTACTCCAACAACAAGCAGAAAAAACAGAGTGAGGTGTAAGATAATTCCATGTCCTCTGGCTTACCCCCTAAGCTTTAGGTGTAATCTGATTGCCACAGAAAAGGATTCATAGCTAATGACTGAAGTGGGGAAGAACAGTGAGGAATTCATTAAGAATCTGCCAAAGTCATCTATGATCAAGATTCATCATTACATTTTAGTAAGTATAAGGTTTGGTTTTCACAAAGCTTTAAGTGCCCAGAAATTAAAAGAATTATTTGAATTTCAAGTGCGAGGAAATAGCTGAGGTTGTCATTTCTCAACAAGGACGTGGGCTGCATCAGTGTCCTGTAGAAACTGTGACCAAGGAACATTCCTTTCTATCCAATATAAGCCATATTAGCCCTTCACACTAAGGGTATAAATAAGGCTTCTTTCTGGGGCAGGAGTGACTCATCAAACCAATTCTCTAACCTCTAACTTCACAGGAGGGGCTGTTAGATGGGAGTTTCAAATATTCAGTAAGTTATCATTCTGAAAATGTTAGATTACAATAGTAAGGTAGCCGTTGTACGAGGTGTTCAGATACAATCTGAAAACCATGCCTGCGTTGCTCTTTTCTCTTTTCCGATGAGGCACTACAGGCACATATGGCCTGCTCAGGTGCAGTTAATAGCACAGCTACACGAGAATAAAGACGCCCTCCTGAGACTCAGAAGCCATTACACTGCCCAGGATGATTGCCGTGACTTTGGGTTGTCAGAGTACAAGAAATGCACACTAACAGATATTTCCATTTTGAGAAATCAGTGAGGGTGCACTGAAACACTGCAGACAGACCCTAAGAAGAAAATGAAATACCATACATCCCTTTTGGGTAAAATTTCTGCTTGAAACAATAGACATAGTGTCTTTTAGGGCATTAAGAATCAATCAGTCTTTTTTTTTTTTTTTTTTAAAAAAAGACTGTAAAGAATCTGGTTGAGTACCAATTAAAAAACAAAAACAAAAACAAAACAAAACAAAAACCAGGGGCGGGGGAGGATCTATCAGCTTAGAAAAAAAATCACCTACCTTTGATAGACAGCATCACAGAAGTCAAGTGTTCCACTCTGAAAGACCCTTTTTCAGTCTTCTGAACCACACAGGTATATGTGCCCCTGTCTGACAGGCGCAGGGCCAAGATCACCAGGGAGAGGTTGTTAGTGATTTCAGGGATGGTCCGGTTCTGGTACTGGGACCACACCTGTACTCTCCCAGATATGACACTCAGCACCATTTTGTTTTCCTTTTGCCAGTAAATGCGAACTCTTGATAGCTCGTCAACAGAGATGTTGTAGTTACAGGACAGTTTTGCCATTCCTTGAACTGTCTTAGTCACCTGGCTAATGCCTAAGGAGAGACAAAGACAACAAGGTTTTATTTTTACTAAATATAGATTCTTACATGGGCAGACAGCAACAGAACTCAGATCATTGTTACCTAAAGAGAAAACATGATGAGAGAATCCAGTTTGGGTTTTTTGTTTGTTTGGTTGGTTGTTTGTTTGCAGAGTGTTTCATCTTGCAGATCGTAATCTCTGTCCCCCTTGAACACCACCATCCTTTCCCCTTTCCCTTGGCCCTGGTAATCAGCATTCTACCGTTGTTTCTATGGATTTGACTAATGTGCTCATATAAGTGGGACCATACAATGCTTGTCCTTTTGGCTGGCCTAATGCCCTCAAGGTTCATCCATGTCATGTCATATGACAGGACTTCATTCCCTTGTAAGGATTGAAGATAATATCTCACTAAATATACAAACCACATTTTTCAATCTATTCATCTGTCAATGGACACCTAGTTTCTTTCACTTCTTGGCTATTTATTGTGAATAGTGCTATTATGAAAATGGGCATGCAAATATCTCTTCAAGACCCTGTTTTCAATTCTTTTGGATACATACCCAAAGTAGAATTGCTGGATCATATAGTAGTTCTATTTTTTTTTCCTTACTGGAGATTGAACCCAGGGGTGCTTTACCACTAAAGCTACATCCCCCGTCATCAGCCTCAGATACTTGGCCAGGCCCTCAGTAACTTAGCAAGACCCTGTCGCAAAATTAAAAAATAAAAAGGGCTAGGGATGTGGCTCAGTGGTAAAGCACCCTGGGTTCAGTCCCCAATTCCACTTTCCCCCCAAATGGCCCCAAAACAGTGTGGAAGTGCAATCTGGTATGCCTAAGCCCAAAAGGCTGTGTCGCACCTTACAGAGAAAATAAATGTGAAATAAGCTTCTCTTGGACTTGGGTAATAATGCTGCTGGCTGGGAGTCCAGTGTTAGTAAACCAACAACATCTGTTCAATAAGGGGTCTTCCAAAGAAACACATATAATACAAGAGCTGATGAGTTGATGCTTGTGCTGTTACTATAGGCTCCTTGCATTTCCCCTGGGAGCAGTGGTTCAGGTCAGTATTTGCTAATGCAGTGGTCATAGAATTTTTTTTTTTTTTTGGTGCTAGAGATTAAACCCAGGGCCTTGCACTTGCTAGGAAAGCACTCTACCACTGAGCCACATCCCCACCCTGGTATGGCAATTTGTAGAACATAATTACTGCAAAAAATAAGAACCAATGGCATTCACATTACCTACTTTATACTATCTGCTAGGTGTGATGACATGTGCCTGCAGTCCTGGCTACTCATGAGGCTAAGCCAGGAGGCTCCCTTGAGTCCAGGAGTTTAAGGCCAGCATGGGCCAAATAGCAAGACCCTAAGTTGAAGAAGAAGAAGGAGGAGGAGGAGGAGACAGAGGGGGAGGAGAAGAAGAAAAGGAGGAGGAAGAGGAAGAACAAGGAGGAGGAGGAGAAGAAAAGGAGGAGGAAGAGGAAGAACAAGGAGGAGGAGGAGAAGAAAGAGGAGGAGGGGGGAGGGGGAGGGGGAGGGAGAGGGAAGAGGGGGAGGAGGAAGAGAAGTATACTCTTGAGGGCTAAGGGTATAACTCAATAGTAGAATGTACAATTATCAAGCAAAGGCCCTGGATTCACACCAGCACGGAAAACAATTACCAAAAGCACTCTTTATGGGCCAAAGTAACATATCTTTTTAGAATAAATGATATCCTTTTATCTTTTTCTTCTTGGTACTGGGGACTGAACCCAGGGAAACTTTACCACTGAGGTGTATTCCCAGTCCTTCGTCCTTTCAATTTTTATGATGAGTCAGGGTCTCACTAAGTTGCTGAGGCTGGCTAGTCTTGAACTTGTGATCTTTCTGTTTCAGGCTCCTAAGTGTCTGGGATTACAGGTGTGTGTCACGGCACCCAGCCATAAAACACCAAGAAGCCCACTTGCAGAAGGTTTTCCTCTTGTCTCTGTTCCCTGGTCACTTGCTTAGGTAATTTTGAAATGCCACTGCCCTGAGAAGCAAGGAATATTCTTTCTGTAAAAAATTGAACCATTGGAGTCCCCGCTTTTCCCCTCTCATTTCTTTTACATGCCCTCTCCTCCCACTGTATGTGGTACAGTGCTGCACACACACATTTACACATAAACACACACTCATTTAATCTTGTAACCAAGGGAGAATCCAAGGATGGAGGATTTTTGGGGGGGGCGGGTACCTGGAACTGAACTGAGGGACACTTGACCACTGAGCCACATCCCCAGCCCTATTTTGTATTTTATTTAAAGACAGGGTCTCACTGAGGTTGTTTAGTGCCTCGCCTTTTGCTAAGACTGTCTTTGAACTCAAGACGCTCCTGTCTCAGCCTCCTGAGCTGCTGGGATTACAGGTGTGTGTCACCCAGCTAACAAGGATAGGGTTTTTATGCAGGTTAGGTGAGCTAAAGACTCTGTCTCATGTGACTTCATTGTCTTATCTAGGAATAAAGCCTTCATCTGTCACCTTATCATACACCTTGATTCTTCCTCTTTTCACTTGACTGGTTTTATTTATTTTTGATACCAGGGGCTGAACCCAGGGGGTGCCTAACCACTGAACTACATCCCCAGCCCATTTTATTTTATTTTTTTTATGCTGAGACAGGGTCTTACTAAGTTGCTTAGGGCCTTGCTAAGTTGCTCAGGCTGGCTTTGAACTTGTGATCCTCCTGCTTCAGCCTCCCTAGTCACTGGAATTACAAGTGCGTACCACCCCACCCCACCCTGATTTAGAATCTGAAGCTCTCAGGACTGAGCAAGAGCTTAAATATAATCCTAAGTGTAGATATAAATATCCTCATAGAGAGGTCTGTAAGTAAGTAGGTATGAAAAAGACACGGGCTTTTTGGTGTTCAATAAACTCTACAGTAGCTATGTGACCTTAAGCAATTTACTTAACCTCTCTGAATTCCAATTTTCTCAATCATAATCACAAGGATTAGATGAGCTGGTTTAATAGAAATTCAGTGCCTAGGCAATCACCAAATATGAATCCTGTTTCCTTTCTCCATGGGAAGGGGAATTTACTAACTTCTCATCCTATTTCCATCTTTGGCAGTTGGACCCAGGAGGCTTTGCTTTGCTCTGAGTTGAAGTCTGTTTACAAACACACCTCATTCTTCTTATGTAATGAGACTGTAGATATCTGAGGATAGTTATTTCCTCTCTCAGTTCTCCTGCAAGTTCCTCTACCTGTCCAATACTGACCTGGTTTTGAGTACTTTCACTTTCCTCCTTACACAGTCTGGGTTGAGACAGGAAATGCCATTGCACCTGACACCTGCTGTGTGACTGGTTTAGGAGAGCTGAGCTGTCATCTCCCTTATCTCCTATTTACTCAGCTTAAAATTGAATTCAATACTTTAGCAGTCACCTCCTAACTTCGATATACTATTGACTATATGGACAAGTAAATTGCCTATTTTTCCACCCATACATGCCATCTAATCCAATATCCCACCAAACTGGTAGCTCTTTTCCAGGGATGTCACCTGCAAAGAATTATCCAGAATCTTCCCTTTCCCTATCTCTCCATATGATGACATATCTTGAGCATTCGAAAATATAGAAAGGCATCTTCTCAAGGACCACCTATGGCAGGAGTGTGGGACACGGGCAGGAACACACAGTGAGGCAGGTAGTCTACTGGTCCTAATAGAAGGAAGACAGACTTTAGGAGACCTGGACAGAAGTGCAACAAAGACTGAATAATGTGCTCTGTCCAGGGGACAGGGAAGTCACCATTAGGAATGCAAGATCTGGAAGGGACTTCCACAATTATTCATTCTGGTGACCCTGTTTTACAGATGAGAAAATGAAGCTCAGGAAATGAAACGGCTCTGGTGGTACATATCTATTTCTTTCTGGCCCCAGCCTTTCAAGGCACTCTCTTTTTTATTGCTTTCCCCGCTTTTAGGCCTGAGTTTCAAGATGAGTAAGTTGACACTGTCCCCACCCTGCCCTGGCACTGCCACCTAGCTGTAGCTGTTTTGCTTTAAGAAAAAGCCCTTTTCTTTCCATGCTTAGGTTGGTCCCATGGCTCTGGACTGAGATGACTGTCCTCATCATCAGACATGGTCCAGTCCCCCATGGGACTGTTTCTTCCCCCTTCAGCTACCCTAAGCGGGTCCTCTCCTGTTGCTACTGCTCTCGGCTGTCTGCAATCCATGCATTCAGTTACCCTATAGCTTGCATTTGCTCTGAAGGCTCCATTTTCAATATTCTGCTCACTTCCCCATCAGCATATGCTAGAAATACCAACATGCTAGTGTCCCAACTCCATCCTCTCATTAGCTCCTAGCCCTCATGGATAGCACAAAATTCCCTATCAGTCTATGTTTTTGATTTTTTCATTCAGAAAGCATGATTGCTCTTCCTGTATTATGCAGTACCTGAAAGCAGTGTCCCTCTAGAGCCCAAGCTCTTGGAACAAGCCCCCTTGACCCAGAGCGATCACGTAGTCTTGGGTCTTGCTGGGCCTTCCTTGCCCTAGAGCCCTGGAGCCACCCAGATCCTTGTGTGAAGGCCATACCACTGCCACTCTCAGGCGTCTACCAGACTGGATGGATGTGGCTCCATCACAGGAAGAGGGTTTTATGACAGTGGGTATTTTCATAGGGAAGTGAGGTGACTCAAAGGAGCTAAGGCTCCCCAGTTTGGTGACTGCCCTGAACACTACCAGTCCCTGCTTTAGGGAATATAACTGAAAGGGGAGGAAATGAAGAGATAAACTTAAGGGGAGCAATTTCATAATGAGGATGTAATAGTTAAAGGTCAAGGTACATACCTGGACACCCTTAGGGACATAAGGGAAGCAAAACAGCATGTAGAAGGGGCATGGGCTATGCATTCTCATTGACAGGTCCCAGCTCAGCCACTTCCTGATTGATCTGCTTGTTTAAGTGGAAAGTGGGCATGATACCCACTCCTCAGGATCATGGTAAAATCTAACTCGATTCAATGCTATAAA